AGAAGATTCAAAAAGCCTTTCCTAAGATACTTTAAAAGGCGCAGGCCTTATTCAAAGAAATCTGACAGGTGCTATCTGTGCAAGAAGAAAGGACATTTTGTAAAAAATTGTCCTAACAAGACCAAAAAGGATGTGAAAATGCTAAAACACTTGCAAACTGTTCTAATGATTAATGAAGATGAAGATATTGAATCTGTCATCGAAGAACAAGATGCTTAGGATGAAGAAACACAATATGTTCTTCCTTTCTTGAAGATGAAGAAACTGATTCTGAATCCTTATCCCAAGAAGATGATGATCCTCAAGGGTTTTTATATTCCCTTGAACAACCCGTGTATCCATCTTTCCTTGGTTCCCTGGCTTCTCAGCCAGACCACAACAAAGTTACTCCCAAGCCAAATGTCAAAATCCATATCCTTCCAGGAAGGTATGAAAAGCTAATTCCTGTTATTGCTTTCATAGATACTGGAGCTAGCAGAACCATCATGAATTCTAATATCTTTCCTTCTGAGGCATGGATCCCTTGTGATGAATCCTTCCTTACTGCTGATTCAAAAACATTCAAGATTGAATGGATTACTAGAAGGAAGATTGGTATTCAATTCTTTCCAGGATGTGTTCTATGGATGAAAGTTCTTGGTAGTGATCTCCCCGGGAAAGATATTCTTATTAGATTTGATGCTTATTATCATACTAGGAATCTTCAAGTACTGCCTAAAGGAATTAGATATAAAAATTTCTTTAGTCCATATACTGAAATTCCTAATTTCTTTGAAATCCAATAAGCACCACCAGGATATGAAGGTATCCGAGATCATCTCTTCAAGTTTTGCATTGATAGTCATCAACAATTCTCTCATCCATTTCCATTATGGAAAAATCAAGAGTTTTTCATAAAACTCCCTTTCAAGAAAAATGAAGATATCAATCCCACAAAAGCACTTCATCCAGGAATGAATCCAGAAGATCTCAAGCTCACCAAAAAGGAATGTACTGCACTTCTCAAACAAGGCCTTATTGAACCTACAAAATCTAATTGGGCTTGCCAAGCATTCTATGTTGAAAAAAGATCAGAAATCAAAAGAGGGAAGAAAAGGTTAGTCATTGACTATAAGCCTCTTAATATTTTCCTTCAAGATGACAAATTCCCTTTACCAAAGCCCAGTTCACTTACAGTCCATCTTAGAGATGCAAAAATCTTTTCCAAGTTTGATGTTAAAGTAGGATTTTGGCAATTGAATATCCACCCAGAAGATCGACCCAAAACTGCTTTTTGTATCCCAAATGCCTAGTACCAATGGACTGTTATGCTATTTGGGCTCAAAGTTGTCCCATTACTATTCCAAAAGGCCATGACCAGAATCTTTGAACCTATACTTGATAACCTCCTCATTTATATTGATGATCTTTTACTCTTTTCAAAAGATGAGGATTCCCATAAACTCTTATTGACCCAGTTCGGGAACATAATTGAAAAATATGGGATTATGTTGTCGGCAAAGAAAGGAGAAATAGGTGTCAGACACATAGAATTTCTTGGAATGGATTTTGAAAATGGCCAATATCATCCTAGACCACATATTACAGAAGAATTGCTCAAATTCCCAGGCGATAATCTTACAGCAAAGCAAATCCAACAATTTCTGGGGATTATTAATTATCTTAGGGATTTTATCCCTCATGTGTCTAATCATACCAGCCAGTTGTCCAGACTTCTTAAAAAGAATCCTCCCGCGTGGGGGACAGAGCAGACCTCAGCTGTCAAGACTCTCAAAAGAATTGCACAGCAACCACCTCCTTTAAAGATCCCTGACAAAGGACTACGGATCCTCCAGACTGATACCAGTGATGACTTTTGGGGAGCTGTCTTAATTGAAGAAATAGATGGAAAGACATTCTATTGTGGACATGCAAGCGGACAATTCAAGGAGTTAGAGAAGCATTATTATGCTACCTATAAGGAGATCCTTGCAGTCAAAAGAGGAATCGAGAAGTTCAGTTTTCATCTCAGTCCCTATCAATTCAGAGTAGAAATAGACAACACGTCTTTTCCCAGAATGCTTAATCCCAAGGGAAAGATTTTACCAGACAGCCAGTTACTTCGATGGAAAGACTGGTTCTCTCGCTATAAATTCCCTGTCCATCACCTCAAAGGTCACTGGAACATCATAGCAGATTTCCTCACAAGGCCTCAGAAAGTTTCTCAGCCTCCAAAACTCCTCTCACTCTCCAAGCACCAACCTCTTTTCATCCTAACTATCTCTGAACCAAAAATGCCTCACAGAATGAGAGCCACCACTTTTCCTCCTAGATACCGTCCTAAATCTCCAGCAGATGTCCAAAACCTCGCCCGAAGCACTATGTTCTACTGGCTCTACCATCTTCTTGTAGATACTGGAATTCACCCATATCCTCAGCACTTTGATGCTGATGCTCCATACCTCCTTGTTCCCATCATCAAAGGACCCATACTAGAGGAACTCTTATGGTACATCTGGATTGTCTCAGCCAATTATACTTGTGCCATAGCCTTCTCAGCCGTAGTCGTACTTGACCACCTGAATGACTTCAGAAATGAAAATTCTCCTCTTACCACACTCTTTGAGATGATTGCTCCTCTTCCCTACTGGAGAGGAAAACTTTAGAAAATTCTCAAGGAACATAATGTCTGGGACTTACCATCTCCCAAACAGAAGAGATTTTTCTGTTTGTATACCTTTTTCAGGAACTATGGTATAAGTGCTGACCAAAGGCTTTACACAGACAATCGTTTGATTCTCCAAGTCACCACCCCCTCATGGCCAAAAAATGAAGCATTGTTAATGGAAAAAATTGGGAAAATATTAACTGCACTTAATCAGCCTGACACAGGAGAAGACACTTCATGCCTTTCTCTTGGACCTTTCCCTCCAAGCTTACTGTCAGCCAGCAGCACAACACTTGAAGAATTCCAGAGAGATTTCATCATGAGTGCTGTCAGACCTCCGCCAAATAGGTCACAAGTCCCTCTACCGACAAAAGCCTCCCAAGACCCTTATGACGGAGACTCACAGATTCAACTCACTCAGCCTGAAGGACTCTATCTCCCTCAGCCAAGTCTTCAGTCACAACTCCCATTCCTTGCAAGAGAATCCCAGGATCCTAACCAAGATGACCTTGACCCAGAACTTGAAGAATCCTACTGTACAAGGAGACATTATGACTCAGATGATCCTGACCCAGAAGGCATCATAAACCTATCCCCTAGCCATGAACCTATCTACAAAAACTAGGGAACACCATCATCAGGAAATCTCCTTTTGCGATACCCTGAAGATAAAGGGGACCCGCCAGATTCCTACTTTATATCGCTATCTACTTTTATTTTATTAAAATAGTTTGTCTTGTAGTCTATTTCGTCTTCTTATAATCAGTAAAGTAGTTGCCTTTATTAAAGTAGTTGGCAATTGTGTCATTATTAGGATAGCAGGTCATTGTGACCCCTACTAGTCATAATGATATCTACTATTAGGACTTTGTCATGTAATGGCACCGAGCCTCTATATAAACCCCACTCTGCCATCAGTTACAAGTAGAAGGAGTTATATCAACTTCCTTGTATAATACTAGTATGCTTTCCTCATGAGTTCTCTCTAAATTTCTCTCTTCTTTTGAAAGCCTCACAAATAATGTCTTTCTTCTATCGCCAGAGATTCTGAGTATGCTCTGTACTTGCCTCTTTAAAGAGGATCCTGTGCCTTAGAAAATAGAATCTGACCACGATGTATAAAAGAGTGCTTAGTGACAATCTTTCCAGTTATCCTAGATCTGGTATTCAAAGTTGAGAGTCCTAACGTGGCCCGTTGATGTGTTGAGAATGAGTGGCCTTACCTGGACTAAAGCCTTGGATATCAAACTATGTTAGCAGATGTACCATAAGAGTTCCTTTGATATGGGTCCTTTGATGATGGGAACAATGAGGCATGGAGCATCAGCATCAAAGTGCTAAGGATATGGGTGAATTCCAGTATCTATAAGAAGACGATGGAGCCAGTAGAATATAGTGCTTCAGGCAGGGTTTTGGACATCTGTTGGAGATTCAGGACGGGATCCAGGAGGGAAAATGGTTGCTCTCATTCTGTGAGGCATTTCTGGTTCAGAGATAGTTAGGATGAAAAGAGGTTGGTGCTTGGAGAGTGAGAGGAGTTTTGGAGGCTGAGAAACTTTTTGAGGCATTGTGAGGAAATCTGCTCTGATGTTCTGGTGACCTTTGAGGTGATGGACAGAGAATTTATAGCGAGAGAACCAGTCTTTCCATCGAAGTAACTGGCTGTCTGGTAAAATCTTTCTCTTGGGATTAATCATTCTGGGAAAAGACGTGTTGTCCATTTCTACTCTGAATTGATAGGGACTGAGATGAAAACTGAAATTCTCGATTCCTCTTTTGACTGTAAGGATCTCCTTATAGGTAGCATGTTAATGCTTCTTTGACTCCTTGAATTGTCCGCTTGCATGTCCACAGTAGAATCTCTTTCCATGTATTTCTTCAATTAAGACAGCTCCCAAAAGTCATCACTGGCATTAGTCTGGAGGATTCGTAGTCCTTTGTCAGGGATCTTTAAAGGAGGTAGTTGCTGTGCAATTCTTTTGAGAGTCTTGACAGCTGAGGTCTGCTCTGTCCCCCACGTGGGAGGATTCTTTTTGAAATGTTTGGACAGCTGGCTGGTATGATTAGACAGATTGGGGATAAAATCCCTAAGATAATTAATAATCCCCAAAAATTGTTAGATTTGCTTTGCTGTAAGATTATCGTCTGGGAATTTGAGCAATTCTTCTGCAATATGTGGTCCAGGATGATATTGGCTATTTTTAAAATTTATTCCAAGAAATTCTATGTGTCTAAAACCTATTTCTCCTTTCTACTTTATATGTAAATATCAAATATTATACTTCTGATGAAAAATCATTAACAAGCACTTGTAGGTAGCGAAGGGTCCATGTTTGGTAACACCACCCAGTCTTCTCTGTAACGAGATGGAGGAGACTCATACACAGACGACGGCTCCGTTAATCTGTTCGACGGAACTGGTGGCAGAAGACGGCGACTACACTCCGTTGGGAAGCTATGAGGCTTTGAAGAAGATAATTTGGATTGAGAGCATCAAAATATGGAAGATTGCTCTTCCCATTGCTGTCAACATCCTCTGTCTCTTCAGTATCAACTCTGTCACCTCCATCTTCGCCGGCCACATCGGCAACCTCGAACTTTCCGCCGTCGCCGTCTCCCTCTCCGTCATTGCCACCTTCGCCTTCGGCTTCATGGTTGGAAAATTCTTTCATTTATCTTTATTCTTCTACTCTTATTTTTCTGTCTTATACATGCCAACTGAACTGAAAATTTGAATCTGACGAGCAAAGGAAGAAACAACTACTAATTTTAGACAAAATTCTTTTTAGGCTAATATGTAAATTTGTGTTGAAAGTTTTTACTGAGTGCTTCGAAAGTTTTTTTGAGAATAAATATGCCTTGCAAGTTTAAAATCATAGCAATAATCTCATTGCTGTTAAAAATGTTAACTCGGCACTTCTGAGTCAAAACCTTCCAGATAAATTTACACTTTAAAACTTTCGAAAGAAAGGAAAATCCTAACTAACAGGTAGCTTCACTCTACAAGTATTGCTCGGGATTCTCTTGACGCAAGAGATTCGTGTTTATTTTCCTAGTGTTTCACTCTATCCCGTAATTCTAGAGTGCTTAAGTATTTTCGTATTTCACCGTCTTTAGCACCCATATTGTGGAAATTAACGTGCAATGTTCATTGCCATTTTATTTCAATCGCTTATAAAGGATTTTAAGTTGCCCCTCAAGAAGTTTATGAAAGACTACTAAAGTTAACTTTGAACTGAATAAAAGAATGTTATAGCTCTCAGTTAAAATTAGATACTAAGATACTATCTTCACTAAAATAACATCCCAAGTGTTAAGATGAAAATGCATAAGCAAGAAAGACTTTATGATAATCTTTTGGCTTTATTATACAGTCAATTTGAAAGGAGCTTATTGATTGCCTTTATTATTATTCTTTGCATAAAACTTGTAGTTTGGCATGGGAAGTGCATTGGAAACACTGTGTGGGCAAGCGTTTGGAGCAGGGCAGATACATATGCTAGGAGTTTACGCCCAAAGATCATGCATAATCTTATTCACATCTTGCATCATCCTCTCCCCAGTCTACATCTTTGCTTCCCCAATTCTAAAGCTTCTCGGCCAAGAACATGAAATCGCAGATCTCGCCGGCAAGTTCACTCTCCTCACATGGCCCTATCTTTTCTCTCTTGCCTTCACTTTTCCCACACAGAAGTTCCTCCAAGCTCAGAGCAAGGTCTATGTACTGACATGGATTGGGTTAGTGGCTTTGGTCTTTCACATTCTGCTGCTCTGGCTCTTCATTTATGTGTTCGGTTGGGGAATTGCTGGGGCTGCCATTGCATTTGATATCTCGAATTGGTTAATTACTTTGACTCAGATAGTTTATGTAGTTGGATGGTGTAAGGAAGGATGGCATGGATTTTCGGTGCTGGCTTTTAAGGATATTTTGGCTTTTGTGAGGTTGTCTCTTTCTTCTGCTGTGATGCTTTGCCTTGAGATTTGGTATTTGATGGCTCTTATTGTTCTCACTGGTCACCTTGAGAATGCCGTTATTGCTGTTGATTCCCTTTCTATTTGGTAAGATCTATCATTGATCGTACGTCTGTTTTGTCTGAAACTTAATTTTGGTACAAGACAATAATAGGCCAACAGTTATAACTTGGTAAGATTTATTGGGCACTTTTGGTTTTTTCGTATCACATTATTACATGTATTATAAACTGATATGGCCAGTAGTGTTGCATTGTTACTTACAACACGGTGTATTTCAGCATGTATTTTAATGGATGGGAGGCTATGATATTTATTGGACTCAATGCAGCAATCAGGTATGAGTCCACTAGTTTTGTACCCTCTTCCATTTCACAACAACTTTTAATTTCCATCTTTCCAAGATCTCATAACGTGAAAGCCACCAACACGAAATCAGATATGTGTCTGTGCGTGTATTCTTCACACCATTATTGCACTCCTAATAAGCGTTAAAAGTGCAAGAAAAATTAGGAATATTAATAGGTTAGTTTATAAAAAAGTCATATGTGAGCAAATTCAATAAAAACTTGCTAATGTTTATTCATTAAACTAGTTCTTTTAATTTGATCAATTTACAGTGTGAGAGTTTCAAATGAACTTGGGATGGGCCATCCCAGAGCAACAAAATACTCAGTCTATGTGACTGTGTCAGAATCTCTGATGCTTGGGATTTTTTTCCTGACTGGTATATTGATAGCTAGAAAGTACATAGCCTTAGTTTTCACCACCAGCAAGATTCTGCAAGAAGCTGTGGCTAGCCTTGCTTACTTGCTTGCCATAACTATGGTTCTTAATAGTGTTCAACCTGTGATCTCAGGTACGGTGATTTTATAAAATGCACATTTTTCCATTTGCTCTGTCTCAAAACTACGATGAGTTATTATCTTTTAGCTTTTGAAATCATATTTATTGCAGGGGTTGCTGTGGGAGCGGGATGGCAAACATTAGTTGCTTATATCAATGTTGGTTGTTATTATCTTTTTGGGCTTCCTTTGGGATACCTCCTTGGATACAAAGCAAAATGGGGAGTCAAGGTATTTTTTTTTTTTCCTGTGGAGAATGACAACAAATTAATTTAATAATAGTTACATCATAAAAAAATTTCGCTAAAAAATTAATAGTAAATAATGCTTTTTTGGCCAAAAATTGTAAATACTGATTTAAAACTCTGCAGGAGTCATAATTGTAAACAAGGCATTTAAGTCTTATATGTCATTTGTAAAAATTTGCAACTTGGACTGTCATATCTTCAACCACCTATAATTATAAATAAGGCATTTAAGACTTACATTTCATTGATAAGGATTTGCAACTGGGACTCTCGTATCTTCAACTACCTAATATGTTATTCGTAAATCATCTTTCACTAAAAATTCTTGGCACTTAAATATTATTAAATCAAACTTTTTGGACCAATTTGTCATGTTGCCCCCTATTTTTCCCATCTTGTTTCCATTGAGCACTGTTTTCCAAGAATTTGAGTTAATTTTTTCACTGATTTGTGTTCAGGGACTTTGGGGTGGTATGATACTTGGAATTGTGCTACAAACCTTGATTCTCTTGTTTATTCTCTACAATACCAATTGGAACAAGGAGGTAATTAAGTGATACTTTCGGTAAAATTCCTGTGGATAAAATTTTACATACAAGACTGTAGCAAGAAAGACGTAATTAGTGTTAAAAATTAGGGGTAAAATAGTAATTTTATGCCGTCACTCACAGGTTCAGCAATCAACTGAACGCATGAAAAGGTGGGGAGGAAAGGATTCAACAATTGTGGAACCTAACGAGACTGGAGAAAACCCAATTTAAGAGTCATATATGGGTATTTTATGCGTGTTAAAACACAAGCCATGTATTAACCTGTATTGGTTGTTGGCTTTGTTAATTTCGTATTAACTTATTTTGTAATTTATTGTTCTTTTTTAATACCTTTTTTTCATCTTGTGATTATACTGTGCTTATTTTGTTATCTAGATTTTTGCATCTGCAGATTCTCTAGTAGGAAATCCAGCGTCTGCTGAAGTACAGATGCTTTATCTACGCGACACCCAAAAGATGGAAATAAATTAGTCTAGCAATCACCCACGATACTAGGATACGGGAAGCAAAGACATTCCGCTGAAATAGGAAATAGATTCATTCTATAACGCACAAATTTGATAGGCAACATAAGGGTACGAGCTACAAAATCATGGAAAACTTAGTTAACCAGCGATTAGGTATTAAATTTCCTCTTTTCATTGAAGTTGAGCAACCAAAATTGAATATAAATTGAGTGAAATGAAATTAAAATAAAACAAAACAAAAATTAATCAAATTAAAGTACAGCAGATATTTAAAAAAAAAAAAAAAGGCCAACCTTGCTTCTTTAACTTTGTTTTCACTTAATTAATTATCTTAAATGTTAATTTTGTTAATCTAAAGTATGATTAACTAAACATGCCTATTGGTCAACTTATAAGCGTCTCTCAAGTCTCAAGTATAGGATGTTACCTCTAACACAATTATCCAAGAAGCTAACAATTCCATATTACTTGTCAACAATTATACGGGTAATTAGGTTTATTCTAATTACAAATTAGATCACAATCCAATCTCATATTACTTAATCTTAGAATCTAATTAAAATCCTCTTTGTTAAGGAAAATCTTAATGCTCAAATTCGTATTGAAATTCAATGGTGACACAAACAATAAAAAAACTAGATTAAGAACTAAAATTAACAATAAACATCATCAATTAATGAAAACAAAGTTCAGCGCTCTAATAAGCTCATAGTTTCTCTCGGTTGAGAAGAAAAATCAGCTAAACATGAATATAACCAGTCTCAGCTTTGCAGCAAAACTATCATATTCAAAACCCATAATGGAAATCAAAGGCAAAGGAGAAAGGAATTGAAATTGTGAGATAGAAAAATGGAAGAGGTGCTCTGGTCCGGCTCGTGTCTTCCCTGAAGAAGAAGAATGGTGAACGATCCCCAATAGTGCCCTCACCCAATCGCGTATAGGTCTCCCAAAGTAGACGATGATTGCTTCACACCATTTCCATAGCTTGCTGAACTAGAAGAAGAATAGTGAAGAAGTTGCAGTATGCAATCTCTCACTTCCTCTGGTTGAAGACAATGGTGTCTCTCTCCTCCAGTACCAGCATCATTGACCTCCTCTCGTCTTCAATCTCTTCAGGTTAATGAAAAAGACAATGAAGCTTTCTCCCTCTGAACCAGTAACTCCGCTTCGTATCCCTCACAAATCCCAGCGAAGAAGATAATTAACAGTGAAAGAAAACTAGACTCCCCAAGCTCTACGAACCATGTCTTTCGAGACCCACCAAAGCCCATAGCTTTTGTCTGGCAAAACGCTATCATCCAACACTACAAAAAAAGAAAAAAAGAAATTAATGACAATATTTAGTGACAGAATTTTATATTGTTTCTAATCTGTCACTAAAATTAGCAATTGTATCCAATGACAAAGCAATAAAATAGTGACTGAATTTTATTCCATCGTTAAATTTTGTCATTAATCCGTTACTGATTTAGTTGTAAAAAGACTAGTGACGGATCATTAACTCCTATCACAAAACATTTCACAATGTAATTAGTGATAGAATGTTACAACTTAGATTTTGGGCCTAAAAGTTTAGGAATAAGCCTAATTTAAAGACTACTAAGCTCTTTGGAGCAAAAGTTTCATAAATGTTCTAGAATGAGAAAAATGTTTTCAAGAACTAAATTACACTTTGAAAATTTCTTTAGGGTTAAAGCATAAATATGGTTAGAGACACTAGCGAAGTCTCGACAACTGAATATGAAATGGAGATGAATATGGGCCACAAGTCATGCTAAAAACCTCAATGAGATAATTTTTGAGTTAAGCTTGATTTGAGATAAAATTGTAATTTTAGAAAGTTTCGAGCTAATACAATTGAGTTAATCACCAAAAATATGATAAAAAATCCCAAAAAAAATTCGAAAAATGGGGAATAACCTGTTTGAAGTTAAAAATGAGAAAAATACTTCAGAAAAGTGAAATTATGATATTTTTAGAATTTTGGCTCATTAAGTGGTATTTAGCCAAATCTAATTATTTAAAATATAAGGAGGCCTGAAATAATTGGATAAAAATAGGAATTAATTATTTGAGAATTTATGTGAGTTTATAAAAATGATTTGATCCTCAAGATATGAGAAGTTTGACTTTAAAAATATTCAAAACATATTTATGCTAAAATAGGTAATTTTCAGGAAATTTAAATAGAAGTACTTCCAAGTCAAGTTTTTCAGGAGAATTTCTCTATGTTAAAGAGGGAATTTTTGGAGGCAAGGAACTAATTTTATGAGTAATCAGTACAAAAAAAAAAGAAGTGATTAGCGACTAAATTTTTATTTAGTAACGGAATTAGCAATGAAATCGCATTAGTGATGGAATTATCAATGAAATTTGTTTTGTCACTAATTTTTTTGTCACTAATTAGATTAGTGACGAAATTTTTTTGTCACTAATTATCGAAAAAAAATTTCGTTGTAATACGTCACTAATTAGTAATGAAAAAATTTGTCACAAATCTGATCTTTTAAAAAAACATTAAAAGGCCACACGACGTCTCTCGTAGCTGCCACATCATCACTGGTGACGGTAGCTACCACCTCACCTTCTGCCTGCTATGTGTCACCACCACATAATTCCTTCTCAATGTGATTTCTCCATGACTTAAACCATGGACCTCGTCTATGTGCGTGTACGATTTTACCAATTTAGTTGCAATGAACCTACTGACTTATACAAAATTAAATATATAATATTTTTTTACACAAACAATTATATATACATATATATTATTAAAAACTACAAATAAACTATATGATAATTTTAATCATAACTATTTTTATGACAAAATAATTTTTAAATATTTGTTTTACTATTTGTTTTATAATTTTTTTAAAATATTTTTAATATAATATTAATTTCTAATGACAATAATTTTGAATTTTAAATCATAAATATTTTTTTATAATTTAAATTTTTTTTAATTAAAAATGATAAGATATATAATTTTGATTATATTTGTATTATATTAAATAATCTATATGTATTTGACATATTTGATGAAAATGATTTATAACTAGTAAAAAGATCTTGTTATTCAAAAAATAGATACTATAATAAAATTTTATAAATTCTTCTACATAAAAAAGTAAATATTTGAATAGATTATGATAAACAATATTCTCCTACTTATATATGTATCATTTATAATTTATTTTCTTAAAATTCTTTATATATACCATTTGTTTTTGCATTGAAGACCAACATCAATCTATATCATGGGTATTAATTATGTCATGATTAAATTTTATTACTTAATGATTGAAATTCAAAATTCACTTTAACATTAGTTTGATTTATAATCATAAATTGACGTGTTCCTATAAATTCATTTTTCGGTTTTGAATTTTCATCATATATTACATCTTTCAATATATTGTTTATATGATAAAATTATTTCTTTCTTAGATCAATTTGTATAAAAAAATTATTAATATTTTTATCATATTTTTTTAATTATTATTAATAATCAAGAGGAATTGATTTTAATGAAATATAAATAATTTTTCTAAGAAATTATCTTCCTATTCTTAGTATATATCTAATGGTGAGATGAATGATAATGATACTTTTATGAACACCAACTCCATAATTATATCAATTTATTTTAAAATTGAAAATATATTTAAATTATTATATTCTTAATTATGTTATTATATAAATTAATGTAAGATTATAAGATAAAATAATAAAATTTAAAATTCGCGATAGATTAGCCATATAATTGCGATGGAATAGACTTAGCAATGGCATTAGTGACAGAAATCTCTATGACAAACAATTTAGCAACGAAATTTTTTTGTCGCTAAAAATTTTATAATTAAAAATTAGCAATAGAATTAGCAACAGAAATTTCTAACGAAAAAAATTCTATCACTAAATATTTATTGACAAATTTTTAGACAGATCAGCGATGAAATTTAGTAACGAAATAAAATTTCCTCACTAATTCATCTCTATATTAGCTATAGAAAAATTTTGTTGCTAATCCTTTGTTAAATTTAGCGGCAAAATTTTCATCCATAATCTATAAGAAATTAGTGACAAAATAATTTTTTGTAACTAATTCTATTGGTAATAAGTTGTTTTTTTTAAAATAGTGAATAGGCCATTACAAAAATATGGTTAAAGTTACTCCAAAATAAAGATAATTAATGTTTCCTAAAATGGGACAAACTTTTAAAATATCTCTCCCTACATGTGACTTCATCAATGAGGGAGGATAATAAAGAGTTTTATGACAAGGACTGGAGGTTAAATATCATAGCTTTCTAGATGATTAGATTTCAAAAAGTCTATATGATACGGTATAATTTTGCTATGTGGTATTATGATATGATCTAAGAGATGCATTAAGCTAATTCTTTCCACATTTCTTCATATGAAAGCTCCCCTTATTGGTGAAACTTTTCTGAGCCATGTGGAGAATACAAAAAGAATTAAATATTAGTCTGGATTTTAAAAGATTATCAAATCTGGTTTTGGATTCTAAATGACTTTCTAATACAATTAAATGCTATGTATGGATCCTATAGGAATGCCATCTCGTGCTTGTAATTCTTAAGAGTTAAGTTTCTAGGAATTAAATATTAACTTCCAAAAGAGATGGACTTAAAAACTTTATTTAATGGAATTATGTAACATCTTAGCTTACAACCATTTATAGAGCCAAAATATGTTAAATGAAACTACATTGCATGGTATTAAGCTTAAGAACCCGTACTTTGAAAAATTACTTTTCTAGGTTACTATTCACTTACTAACCCTAAAATTTTGGCTAATTTTGAAAATTCATAACTAATTCTAGAAAATTCAAAATGAGGTAGTTCCAAGTTTATTTGAAATTCATTCATTTGTTTATATAGAAAAATAGCCACTGGTCTA